GTGGGGTGGGTTCTGGAGCAGAAATCAGAGATCAAGGGCACTTTTTTATCCAATGCATTTGATTGATTATGATTTCACATGAGGCACAAGTGCCTTACAAGAAACAGATAGCTGTCGTTGCATTTTGTAAAGCATTCCCTCGCCACATGCTGGTGCTCCAAGAATGCTTTCCCCAGCAAATGCTTCTAGACATGTAGGCATGGGGAAATAAATAAATAAAAATAAATAAAATAGCTTGTTTCAGTTGGGTTATTTTTTCATTAGTTTGGGACCTGAATGGCTAAATACCTGAAGTGGGATGGAAAGAGTACATAAATCTTTTTCAATCTAGCCTCCAGCTGGAGAAAGTGAAGAAACACCTATTAGTGATCAGGGAAGGTGGGAGGAACAGGACAAATTTTGTTCTGTGAAAATGAAAAAAATAAAACATTGCACTAAGGAATCATACTGGTACAGTATAAAATTATGTGAGATGTGGGTGGGCAGATAAGGAAGAAGATTTCAGCCTGGCTCCTCATTAGTATGATCCCTCCTTTTCTCCAGAGCTCCCATATTAGCATGGCTAGAGCAAAGCAGGCACTGAGAGAGAACAACTGAGTACAGAGAGCACTGAAGATTCATGTTGTCCATGTAGAGCTGTGGCTGCAGCAAAGATGTAGCATTGGAAAACTAAAAATTCCAGAGTCAGCTGAGCTGGCTGAGGCTCTACAGCAATGTGCAACATAAATACAGGTATGAAACTGAGGATAAAATGGTATAGAATTAGATATAGTTTATAATTAGAAGCTACAGCTGTCAGAGCAGATATGAAATCATATTTCATACTTAAACATTTATATTAGCTATAGCATGAGTCTCCCAAAGCCAAGAGAGTCTGAGATATGGCTATGGTGGTACAAAAAGATACTCTCACTGGAAGAGGTTAGCCTGAAGGGGACAGGGAAAGGTGCACCACTGCCAACCTTGCTGTCATTCATCACTTCCATCCAGTTTAAAACAAGCTTTGACACTCTCAGAGTTCAATTATTTGCTGACAGCAGTTT